TCCTATCTCTCTTTGTCTTTTCGCGCCCAAAACCATTTTACATGTCGCATGTTTTGATGATATCATCGATGTAATATGATACAAATGTCACGTGACCAAGTAAATGATATGAAATAAAAAAGATCAATTTTAACCTGCGAATTGCGCCCGTTTATTTTCATACCTGTTATTCCCTTTCTTCTTTTTTCTCTTTTCCTATCTCTCTTTGTCTTTTCGCGCCCAAAACCATTTTACATGTTATGAACTTTGTCTTTTCGCGCCCAAAACCATTTTACATGTTATGATGATAATATCATCAATGTAATATGATACAAATGTCACGTGACCAAGTAAGTGATATAAAATAAAAATTAATTTTAAACTACGAATTGCTCGCGTTTATTTTCATACTTGTTATTAGTTCTTTTTTTTTACAATGGATAGGTACAGATGGCATAGGATAGGTTGGATGGGAAGTAAAGCAAGTACATATAATTGATGTGAACGACAAAATTTTTTTATTCACATATAATTACATTCGGTTTTTTTCGTGTGTATTAAAAACTAAAGCTAATAGCTCGCAATCGACGAGCTGATGTCCACTGAAAATATCGCTATCGCGTATAGCATCTTCGGATGCGATGTTGGAGAATCGCGTATACTTGACATCGACCGTATCGATGAGTCGGACTAAATATTGATTTAAATTTTTCATTGATGGTATGCGTATACTGGCACAGCTCAGAGTATATATTCTCGACGCATTGTTCGAGTTTGAACATGAAGAGCACGTTTAACGACTTCGTATACAGACATGTATCGCGCAATGTTAATTTGACCACATTCGCATCACGCATTTTTACGATTTCTATCACAAGATCTTGGACCGATTATGATGAAGGCGCGGGGGGTGATTGCACGAACAACTCAATATCCGCGCGTCTTTCGATGAAAGCCCGCCACACTGCACGAGGCAAGATTATTACCTTGGTTGTCACCAATTGCAATATTATTTAGTTTAATTTTATTTGATTGCATACATGGAAAGTACAATTTTACTCATTGCCCAAGCTCTTTCTAAGTTTCATCCTTTTCATCACATTTCTTCAGGAATGCATATGGAATTGTTCTACCAACACAAACGAGAGATAAAAAATGTAAGCGTCGATATGCGACAGCTTTGTTAGTGTAATAAAAGATTTTTTAAAGACATTCGACATGTTAATACGACATGTTTCGCAATGACATCATGAATGTAATTTTGATACGTTGCAATGTTGCTAAAATAGTATGCATAATGATATAAAATTTAAAGATCGAGATGCATTGCGACGTTGTCAAATAGTGAGCATAACGATATATGCTCCACCCGTTTTAGTCCTATACACACACACACGCGCGCGCGCGCACACACACACACACACACACACTCGCCATAGTATTCGTACTCTCTCTCCTACCCATTATGGTCCTATATTTATCATAGTATTCGCGCTCTCTCTTCTTCCCATTATATTCTCTC